TTGTATGAAAAGAATGGAGACAGACAGAGAATGCTGGCTCACACAAAGAACCGGGTAGGATGCATCTCCCAATGTGAGGCTGTCGCTCTGAGGTACCTGCCTGCTGGAATGCAGTATTGTCCCCTGAGCATTATGGAGCCACCTGCCTGGGTGGTTTTGGAGCTGCAGGACCTGCTTTCTGCCCCAGGATGGAGGGTAGGTGAGGGCAGCTGTCTGCATGGGTGGGTGATGGTGGACTCATGGCAGGACCCTTCCTTCTCCATCCTGAGGGCCAGGTGGGTGCCAGGGATGAGGCTCCTGGCTTTGGGAGCAGCTCTCTTTCCCACGCCCTTGTACTCTCTTGGGCAAGTCTCCTTCCTCACTGGAAGTTAGTGAGAAACAGGAATATGTTTATGTCCATCTCTGCCTGCCTCCCCATCTAAGTCACCAACAAAAGCCTCAGAATATGAATATCTTGGCACTGCCCCACCCACCTACAGAGCCTTACCGCCCTGTCCCTTTATTAGGATGAGGCAGTCTCCCTGACTCCTGGGGCTCCTTTTTGACACCTCTCTAAATGCACACTCATTTTCTCTCTACCAAGTCCAGAGTGACGTTCCTAAAACACTTATGAAGAGAAGGCACTCCTCCCTCCTGTCCCACAGAGATTGCCCATCCTCCACGAATGCGAGCACAGGCCTAACCAGGGCCTCCTTTGCCTGTCCAATCACCCCCAGCCTCCTCAGCCACCCCTGCCCCTTGTCCCTTTGGCTATGAAGAGAGGGGACTTTTGTCCTGTCCTACCCTCACTGACTGATGTGCCCTCAGGCTCTTGGCAAGGTCACCAGATGAAACACCAGATACCTGGTTAAATGTGCACTTCCTATAAGTGACAAATAGAGTTTGAGCACAAGTCTGTCCCAGGTGGAGACATTCTGAGGGCCATAGTCAAGACCTTCTGCAAGACTAGGCCTATGCATGCTGTTCCTGTCCATGTTCCTTCTTCCTCTAGTCCATACCTCTGTCCCGGGTGTCCCAACTCACCAAACGCTGTCCTCTCTACAGCTCCATGTTGGCCTCTGATGTCCCTTCACATGGAACAAGTCCTAGATGGAATTCCTGACCTGCTTACCTTTCCTGGATGCCCCTCCACCCATGAGGTCATGTCTAGAAGCCCCAGGGTCTCCAAGAGAATCAGGAAGCCACATAGGAGGGGACCAGAGCCAAGGCCTGGAACAGAGGTAGTGGTTACACTAGTTCCTCCCTGGCATGGCTTAAGGAAGGGTTGATAGAGAGGGTGGAGGCAGCTGAGGTCCATGGGCTAGCAGGACCCACCCTGCTGTCTCCCAACAACCCTCGCTTGGGAAACACCCTCGGCAAACACCCTCGCTTCCAGGCTCAAGCCAGAAACCCCGCACTTAAGGGAGCATGGGGGTAGTTTCTGTTGCCTGCTACCTCTCTCCACCGGGGGATTCTCCACTTCCTGCTTCTCTTGACCTGCCTGTTTCGGTACTTGAGACTTCTTTATCCTCTGGTCCTCCCCATCTGAGTCACACTTCACCTGTACTTGGTCCAGGATGGCCTGGGACTAGAGATTGAAACTGGAGCATGCTGAGGTGAGTGATAATGAATCCCACCATGCAGCCCCAAATAGGAGTGAGCCCCACCCGCCCAAGGCAACAGTCTCATCCTATGGATCCCAGTTTACTATTTCCCTGGTCTTCTTCTCCACACCCTCCTGTACCCAGGAGCTACCACCAAGCAAAGCAGCAGCCCTGGATCCTGGTCTCAGGGTCATCTAGGGTAACCCCAGACGTACATCCATAAATCTTGTCTGTCTTCACCTCCCACACTTGGTTCCCCAAAGTCCCAGCACCGTGTCCCCCCTTCCTGTCTGCTCACACTCCTATCTCTGCTGTCTCCACACCACCCTGGTCACATGTGCCCCCTGCCATGCTAACATCCCCTCAGCCTTCCCGCATTCATCCTTTGCCCCCTGTGCTTGCTCTTTACAGCCAAAATCTTTCGGAAATACAAACCATCCATGACTTCCTCTGCCTAGATTTACATCTGGGATCCTCACAAACACCTCTAGGGCCAGCTCTAGCATTTTCTCTAGCCAAGCACCCTCTATTCTGGGACATTTGTACAAGCTGCTCTTTGGCCCTGGACTGACACTCCTCCAAGGTAGAGCTGACTGATCAGGCCTAAGGTTTCTTCGTAACCATGTCCACTCCAACAATCCCACCTACCATTCCCTCCTTCATCTACCTATCTTCATCCATACAGCTTGGCCACAGCACTGACTCCAGTGTATCACTGATTCTTAGGCCAGTACACATATGCACACATACTTGTCTGTGGTGAGTGAGCTCCAGGCTATGAGCTTCTTGAGGGCAGACTCCTATGCATCTGTCACCTCTGTGTCCCAGATCCTTGACCCATGTTGGCTGTTGGTCTTTCAGAGTGTGGGTACAAAGCAGAGAGCGAGCAACTTCTTTGTGGGCCAGACCAGGCCACAGGTGTCAGGACAGTGTGCCTGAGCTCCAGTTCTGTTAGCCATGGCTAGAGCAGCTCTCTCCACTCAGGACAGCTGGTCAGGCTGGCAGCTTAGCTCAGAGGCCCCAGAATATGTGCAGAGGAAGCTCTGAGGTAGCAGTCAGAAGTCAAGCGCTCCCTGTCCCTTCCTGGATCCTTGGTATCACCAGCTGTATGGTGGGAAGTGAGGATTTCAAAAGAACCACTGGAAAGTCTGCCTCATGGTGCCGAGAGAGGTCCTCAGCTGAGGGCCCGAGGAGTCATTCTTAGCCTTTTTAAAAATAGATTTTCTTCTTTAAAAGAGTTTGGATTCACAGCAGACTTAAACCCAAAGTCCAAAGACTTCTCCTTTGCCCCCTGACCTCCCCGTTTATCACTACTCCCCACCAAGGGTACCCTGGTTAAAACTGAATCCGTCTCCACCATCAGTCACCAAGATCCCCAGCCCGTGTCAGGGCTGACTCATGGTGTCAAACTCTCTGTGGCTGAGACATATGTGAGGTGGCACGGGTCCACCATTACAGTGTCACACGGAACCCTGATAATCCCCAGGCTCTACCTATTCATCCTTCTCCCCACAGCACCTGCCAGCCACTGGGCTTTTCCTATCTCCACTATCTCAACTGCTTCAGACATCACAGAGCTGGAACCCTACGGTCAGCCACCCTTTCAGACTCTCCTTGGGTTAGTCAGATGCCTCCCGCTGCATGGAGCCATGGCAGGGTCTCATAAGACAAAGGCAGCTGGGGCTGGCCTGCATCACACCTTGCCTCATCTCCTGCTGCAGAACTTGACCTCCAACTGTTGGCTCAACCTTTGCTGTCCTGGAAGTCGGCATCAAGCCCACTGTGGGGCTCAGCCTGGCAGGATGTGAGCTGAGTTGTCCACCTGTTCACAGTCATGCTGGGTCTCTGCTGACAGTCCACTGTGCTGGGACAAAAGGCCAGTTCTACTCACAGGCCCTGAGAGAGCCTTCAGATCTCAGCTTAGAAGGGCCTCCCCAGCCCTCTGCACAGGGCCACTTGCCTGGGCTACTGTGTGAGGTGGCATGTATCTCCAACCCAATACCCATCCCAACCCCGTGGTACATTCATGGGACCTTTTCTCAGCCAACCTCAGTATTCCATGGCCATGTGGCTAAATTCCCTCTTCCTTTCCTGTTAAATGTCTTCATGGAAAAATAGAATAATCAAAAACACTTCATTCAGTACTCAAAAGATGCTCAGCCAAGTGTGGTGTCACATACCGCTAATCTCAGCACTCAGGAGGTCTGAGGCAGGAGAATTGCTGTGAGTTTGAGGCCACCCTGGGCTACATAGTGAGTTAATGCCAGCCTGGAATAGCAAAACTCTGTCTCAAAACAAACAAACAAAACTCAAAAAATTCTTATGAGGGATATATTTGCTGATAGGAAAATCTGTAAATCGAAAGCCAGAAAAGAAGTCACCTGCCTGAGATTTCATAGCTCTAAATTACAGAGCAGAGATGCAGACTTTGGGAGTTCAGCTGCAAAACCCTCATTCCAATCACATGTAAGCTGGAATTTAAACCACCTCTATCACTTTCTATTTCCAGTGTGGCTCTGGGACATCTTGAATGGACATCTTGAATTCCATTTCTTTGATGGTACATTATAGGCCACAATAACATGGGAAGGGGCACAGGGTTAAATTAGTTACTTCATAAAAACATCTGGTAGACAGTTAGCAATCCACCCACCTATCCTTCCATCCATCTACCCACCCGCTCACTGACTCACCCACCTATTTACCCATTCATCCATCCACCCACCCACCCATCCCCCATTCATCCATTCATCCTCAATCAGGCATCCATCCACCCAGCCATCAGCCATCTAGCCATCCTTTTCTCCTTCCTTCATCTCTTCACCCATACTAGCAGGCCAAAGCTAGACCATTTTGTGCTCAAGACTGAGACAAAGTTAGTGGCAGAACCAAGATTCAAAGCCAACTCATCTGATTACAACCCTGCCTATTTCCCTGAACTGAGGCACAGAGAGGGCTGTGGTACAGTGACTCGAGGCTACCAGGTCCTAGGGCCAGGGTGGCTATTTGTCCGCAGTGACAAGGGATTGGCCTTAATGCATATCACTCATGCCCAGGTCCCCTTGTTTTCTGTCTTTCTTACCTCGCCGCTGGCTGGGTGGAGCCACATAGCTAAAGATGGCCCATGAGTGCTATGACAGGCACAGACCAGAGCATCAGCTTGCTGATGCAAGACACTCCTCCCGCTCTGTCAGCTAGAGAAAGGAAGGTATTGAGGTGAGGCCACATGGTCAGACCTGTAGTAAGCAAAGTACCTTGCTGACATTTGAGGGTTTAGGAAGGAGACATGGAACTGCTGTTACACTGCATAGCTCAGCCTGTCTTGGAGGACATGGTGACTCCAGCCCTGCAGGGAGTGTCTTAAGGCCCTCCTTACCTCTGTAGTTATCTCCAAGGGCTACATGAACAAATTCTCACCTCACGGTCTGGAGCAACAGCGCTTCTTTCCCTCATGGTTCTGGAAGCCAGAAGTCAGCAACGGGTTCTCTCTGCAGGCCCTAAGGGAAGGTTTGTTCTGGCCACTCTCCCGGCGTCCAGTGGCTGCTGGCTATTGCCTGGGTGCTTTTAGGTCCCACGGTGGGATTCAGCATCCCTATTCATGCTCCTGTCTTTCCATGGCCCTTCCTCCCTCTGTCTTTTCATCCCCACCTCTAGCACTGGTCCTAATCCACCATGACCTCACCATAACTCATTACATCTCAAAGCTGCTCTTCCCACATATGTTCACATTCTCAGCAACAGGTAGATGTGAGACTTGAAGGCATGGTGTTTGATTCAGTAACACCCTCAGGCTTAGCTCAGGCATATAAATGCATCAAGAAGATTTGCTCCTGCCAGGCCCTGCACAGATACTGGCCTGGAAGACAGGGATGGAGAATGCCACAGCAGTCAGCATGCTGGAGACAAAGCACTCGCAGCTTAGTCTGATAGCAGAGGCAAAGGAGTCTCAAACAATCTCAATATAATGCAGAGGATGTGCGGGATGAGTGACCCTGAGTGCTAGCTGTAGTGCCCCATGTCTCTGTCTCCCGCCTCCTGCCCCAGATCAGGGCTAGCACCGGGCAGGGGCTTCAGGACTGCTGCTGGGAACTATCACCCACTTACCTGAGGCACCCGCATCTCTTGGCATCCTCACCATCCGCAGAGACCATCTGGGAGTGATAACGGGCCAGGTTTGCATGGCACCTGCCCAGCTGGCAATGTTAGCAATTCACTTGGCAGCAATGGCTCAGGCCCCTGGCTTCTGTACAACCTGTGGCTCTCCCCACCAGGCCACCTATCTGGCCCAAGTCCCTGTGCACATAGTAGCCCTGCTCATAACTTACAGTTCTCACTGGTTCCCAACCCAAGAGCTCCTGATGGGCCAGGGCAGTGAGTGCTGCCCTTGTCCACAACACCCATCTATCCACACTGGCTGCTCAGCTCCTCCTGGACATGGCCATGGTCCTCCCCTCCAGGGGCTGTCATCTCCCAGGCCTCCTAGAGGAGGAGCTCAGTCATTCTTCCTTACTTTTGAATTAATGCAGCTGACCGGGGCCATTCTGGGACTGACAGTTTAGGCGGGACATAGACACGTGGATTGAGAAGACTGAGCAGTGCAGAGAGGTCAGTCACAGACACCTGACAGGTGAGGAAAGGTGAAGGGGAGAGACAGGAAGAAGATTTTCCTCTAGGCAGGGGCTGCTGGGGCTGAGGGAGGCGGAAGGGCTACGACCACCTTTGTGGTGGTCACTGCTGGCCACTTATATAATAGAAGAATACACTGTGCTGTCACAGTGTGGTGACAGCTGACCTCAGTGTACATGGTATTCCCACAGGGAGAGCAGGCGGCCAATCCTGAGGGGTCCAGAGGGAAGAGTCGGGACCAAGGGGGAACATTACAGAGATCAGAGCGTAGTGTTCATCGGCTGGTGATGACACCACCATCAGGAAAGCATCCAAGAAGAGCCCAGATACGAGGCATGCCAGCCACACTGCCATGCACTATACAGGTCTTGGTTTTGTGGATTTTCTCTATGAGCTCCTAATCACTGAGATAATTCTCAGGGTTTATTCTCAGTCTATGAGGCTAAGTCTGCCATCAGTCAATCGATCAGGTGGGAAAAAGCCTGAGATGTCCACTGGGTCCCTGGGGACTCTCACACTGTGGTTGCAAAGCTGCTCTACTCCCTAGGAACCTTGCAAAGGGGGTCCCCAATGTCCTGTGAGCAGCCCTTTAAAACTCCATGCTCTCCAGAGCTGCATGAGCAGAGCCCTCACGTCCAACACCCTTTTCAATTCCCAGGTAGCTCAGAATAGAAGGATGAGAAGGGAGGGCTGCTTGGCCTTCAGGCCCAGCCTGCACATCCCTGAAGGTGACAGGAGGAGGTGGACGCCAGAAGCCATAGGCGCCAGCAGAGCCCACAGGAGTGTGACCACAGCCTCAGCTCCAACTTGGCCCTGGGCTCACTGACTGTGTGAGCCAAAATCAAACTAACTAACCTCTCTGAACCTATTCCTAACCTGTAAATTGGGGATAATAACGGGAAACCATCCCAGAATGAGGATTACATGAGATGCTCATCTGGGCAAGGGACTGGCTCAACGTGGAAACCATTGTTACCCTGAAGATGCCTGACAAATGGGCCAACGTGCATCTCCTCTGCTTCTGAGCACTCTATGGCTCCCCCATGCCACAGCACTTCCTCCAAGCCCCTCAGCCCTCCTGGGTGGCCTGTTTGGCTGTTACACAGCTCCCCCTACAGCCTGGGGCACACCAAGGCCTGGTCAACCAGTTTTGTCATCTCTACTCCCAGTGCCTGTTGAGCTCAGCCTTCAGCATTGCTCAGGTTCCTCCTCTTGGCTCCTCCATGGAGCATGGTGGGAGCTGCCAGGGCAGGATGATCAGTGTCCTGTGGAGGCTAAAGCAAATGACCACACACTCAGGGGCATAGATCAGCAGAGCCATATTCTCTTGGCTCTGGAAGCCACAATCTGATGTCAGTGCTCCTTCCTAAGACCCCAGGAGCCACTCCTTCCAGTGGCTCTCCAGTAGCTCCAGTGGCTCACACCTGCCTCAGCTTATGGCTGCATCCCTCCACCCCCACCTCTATCTTTAAATGCCTTCTCTTCTCTCCCATCTCCTACAATGATCACTAGATATAGGGCCTACCTGGATAATCCAAGATGAGCTCCTCATCTCTGGACCCTCAGTTCAATTATGCCTGCGAAGACTTTTTGTCCACATAAGGGCACATTGACAGGTGCAGGAGTTAGGATGGGGACACACAGGCTTGGGAGTCCCCTGCAAACCCCTGCCACTCTCAAACCTGCATCTTTGTGCATGACTTTGTCCCAGTCATGTATCTACTCAAAAGTGCCAGGGGAGATAGGCCCTCCCAGGACTGATAGAGGTGTTCCATAGCACCCAACCCAGGGCCAAGCTTAGCACCAGCTTCAGCAGCAGCCTCTAGAAGGTTCCTCTGTGGGATGAATTTCACTTGCCCACCATGCAACTGGCTGGAAACTTTTTCTTATCATCTGCCTACCTTCTCTTGCCTTGTTACTTATCTCTCTGCCTGCACCTCCTGGGTCCCACCTAAGTAAGCTCTCTGTGCTTGAACCCTCCCCACAAAGTCTGTTCTAGGCCTAAGTGGGTCCTCTCTTGCAGCCCTCAGGTCCTCTTGGTTTGTGCTGTTGGTGCACCTGTTTCACCCACTCTCCTAGAATGGGTCATCCAGATACACACATGGCCTGTGTGTGTGGTCACATTACCCAGTCATTCATTGGGAATATTGGGAAATAGGTAGAGAAGATTGGACTTGGAGAGATGGAAATGTACATGGGGAAGGGCTCAGGAGGGACCCAGCAGGAAAGACCCCATTCGTGTATCCCTTTGGCTGGTGGCTGCAGTGTTTTGGATGTTACTGGCACAAACTGTCCTAATAGGCTACAGATGAAAGGTGTTGCTTCCAAGATGCATGGAGGGGTCCCGGGAGTCAACCACAGCTGCTCCCCAAGGTCCCCAGCTCAGTGTAAAGCTCCTGTGTATCCAGCTCCTCCCACATGAACTCCTTGTAACAGCCCCTGCACCCCAGCCTGCCATTGGCCTCCTGGCTGCACTAACTGGCTCATGCGCACGGAGGCACTGGGTGTGCTGTGGTTCCCACAGATGGCCTCACTGTCACCGTGAGGGCATCACATGGCCATGGGGCTGCAGGAGGGGATAAGCAGGAGATGAAGTGAGGGAGCTCTCAGACAAAGCTGTGTTACTCTCTGGGGAGTGAACATGGAGGATGCAGCTACCTCTGGCTCTCTGAAGACCTCTGGGCCCCCAGTTGGAGGGTCATGGGCAGCTTGACTGTTTTCATTGCCCACCCTACAGGTGCCACACTCTCCTATTCCCCTACAACCTCCTGGGGTCACTTTCCCAAGACAAGAGCAAGCTCTGACTTCAGGCTTTGGCATGAACACAGGACAGCTATTGTTGCAGCTGCTTTGTTCAGAGCCCCAGCTGCCTTGATGGAGGCCTTGGCCTGGCCTCAGGCACAGATGTTCAGACAGCAGAGCGGTGAGAAGGCCACACTGTTCCCAGCCCCAAGGGCCTTAGCATACAAGGCTGAACAGGGCAGGCAGCCCCAGGCATAGGCCGTTCCAGAGCAAAGATGCAGGTCCTAGGACACTGGATGAGCACGTTGGCCAGCCAAAGGCCTACAGGCTATGAGCACCCAGAAAACTGGCTGCCTTTACACTATAAGTGGCAGAACTAGGAGAGTCTACATTTAAACAGCAGATGTGCTAGCTGGGTAGAGACCTCCCCCAAGGCTGGTGTTCCAGATCTAGACCAGGTCCAAAGAAGAGGCTCAGCCCTGGATCACCCCATGGGCACCAGCAGACACTCAGCAAGCCTGTGCTCCCTGTGGCTGGACTATACAATGGGAACACGAGACAGGATGTCCTGCCCTTTTGACCCAAGTCAGAGCCTTCCAAGGGTGAAATGCAGGCAATCCTCCCTAACCCACCCCACCCCCAGCCTAAGGAAAACTAGAGGAGAAGCTTTATACTGGGGGCAAGGCCTATAGAAGTGGGCAGAGTTGCAGGAAGTAGGAAGGCCATGCTGTGGGAAGGGATGGGACTTTCTTCAGGACCTGGCCTCCGCCCCTGAGGCTGACCAGCCAGGGACTATTAGTTTTCTTTAACAGGTCTAGAGCAATTCTGGGGGAGACCAGTGTCTTCTCTCTTTGGTCCCCTCTGAGCCCTTCACCCAGGTGAAGTGTGCCACCACGTGCCACAATGTATTGTGTGTCCAGCTGAGATCTGAAAGAGGCTTTCTGACCTTTGCTTATGATTCTTCCTGCCTTCAGGGTCCTGCCAACTCCCACCCTAGTGGCCAGAAACTGGAGCAGGAGATGGCCTTGGGAGAAAGGCCAATGTGTGGTAGCTCAGGAAGGGGGCTGGAGCTATCTGTGACTGTCTCCCAAGACCCAAGGGAGATGCTGGCCTGGTCCAGATTCTACCACATGTGCTTCCTTCTCACCAATTCCAAGGTCATTAAGTTCTCCTAAGTGGTCAGACAGCAAATTACCCTGAGTGTCCTTCAGAGGCAATGGTAGTGATGTGAAAGTAATTTCAACTCCCTGGTCTCCCCTTCAGGGGCTTTGGCATAGCCAGCTGCTTTCTCTGTCCCCTCCCACTAAAGAGGAGCCTTGCTGGGGCCTGGACCAAGCTAGATAGGAGTGTTCCATGAGAAAATATGGCCTGTGGACGCTCCTTGTGGCCAGGGCTCTGTGCTGTGTGCTAGTGGAGGGGATAAGCCAGCCAAGAGTTGGGCCCTGGCCGACTGTGATATGAGGGGCACTGGAACACTGGGTTGTGACCCTCCAGAGTGCAAAAAGCAGTGGAAAGAGGCTATGGGCGAAGGAGGCAATGTAGTGGCTAGGGTTCCGCAGTTCAGGCCCACATGCACCCGAAAGGAGCCCTAGAATTTCCTTGGGCTTTTGTGCTTCTTGGACAGTAGGTCAGGAGGCCCAAGGAGGAGACCCAGAGCTTCTCAGCCAAGCTGCTATTCACTCATTTCTCCCACATCACTGCACTACATTTCTCGACCCTTTGACTTTGGTGCTGTCTCAGTTATGAGCAACTTGGGGTGACCAGAGATGAGGGACTAATCGAGGGTCACACACATGGGTCTGGGTGTGAGGTAGGTGTGTCTTCCTCTTGGTATGCTTTCTCCTGCCTCAGCAGGCCTGTATGCATGCCTGGGAGAGCAAAGTGGTCAGGGGAGATTTATGCCTCCTGTCTTTCATAAGGAACTTTGTCCAACAGCATACACGATCCTCAAGATTACACTTTGGCAAAAGATAGGGTGACAGCCTTCAAATGGAGTTTCTTATTATATCCCTCTATAAAGCCGGGGACACAACATTAAATCACAGCCTGAGGAAGGAGGCATTTTGGAGCCAGGAAGATATATAGTGAGCACATCTCGTTCTGGTG